AGTGGCGGTTATACCTGCTCTGTCAGAAGCCAGTGGGCCAAACTTAACGGATTTCTGTTATAAGGAGCACAGGTATCATCTGAGCACAAGTATCATCTTCGAACCATCTGCGTAATCTGCACTCTTAGCCTTTGTTTCCCTTTGCTTCTCACACAGAATACTGACTTAATCGTCGGAGGGTTCCCGTCGGGCAAATCCCYCGGGAGTTCTTCTTCTTCCTTCTCATCTCAGGTACCTCTCAGGAGTCGTGTGAGTGCCAGCTAGGAGTGACCGGATTGCGCTACATCATTTGTCGTCGTCTGTGGGAAACACTTCGAAAAGCCTTGGACAGAAAGCCGAAGTGAAGGAAAACCTACCCGGGCTCAAGCTGGCCTGGATGAGCTTCTCCTCGGATGTGAAGTCTTTATAATTCAACCCGAGCTGAGCCAGTGACTGGAGCACCTTCTTGGTCTTCCAGTCTAGGATGACACCGGGGTCTTGAACGGCCATCCTCCAATAAGTGGGGAAGGGCCACCCCGTGCTGCTCCGAACTACGAAGTAGTCCCGCTTCCAAGCTGGGACTTTACTAGGGAGCTTATGCATAACTTTGAAACCCGAGCGGGGGGACAGGTAGTAAGACCGCCTATGCCCGGGGAGAGCGCCCGAAGCACTTTTCTTTATGGCCAAAATTGTGCTAAGAATGTCTAAATCTATAGAGAGAGAACGGTTAAAGCAAAGAGAAATGGACCCCACCACATTCCGTATAGAATTTGGGTGGAGTTGGTCTAGGGTGATGTTAAAGTGTACCAACACCTCAACGATCAAAGGGTGAAGAGGAAGTCAGAGTCCGGCTATTAGTTGTTCCCTAAAGATCACGATCTCGTCAGGACCGTGCTCCCCTGGAAAGCTGCCGGTGGGAAGGCTATAGGAGTATTCCTTAGGGAGGTTGAACCTCTGTATGAGGTCCTGAAGCCTCTTCGAAGTCATTATAGAAGGGCCAAATTGATCTGGCTCCCGACCTCGGTGGGAGGTGGACGCCAGATGACCCGAAGCCACCCGTACTTCAGATGGCTGGGCAGCGGAGGAGCCACCCCGAGCCGAGGTACCCACCTCGGGCTCGTCAATCAGGCTGTCTACACTAGATGACATGGAAAACTGAAAGGAAGAAACAAACGGAAGGGGAAAAGGAAGCTCGGGAGGACTCACTAAAGAAACGCAACCGAACTAGGAAGACAGGACGAATTGGGAGACCCGAGCTAAGAGACCTCTGACGCGAGCTCAAACGCTAATGGCGAAGGATTTGTGGCGAAGAAAATGGCCAAGGGCCCCCTTATTTATAGCCACAATTGTGGGTTCCTCGAGGCGAAAATGGTTTAGCGCGTTTTTGACATCTGCGAAGTCCAAATCGCGTGAGGTCCGTGCGTAACCTGGATGCGACGTGAGTCTTTTTTGATCAAACCGGGCACTGGACCAGTCCAGATGGATGGAGCGCGCAACGAAGCGGCATGAATGCTGACGCCAAATCTACCCGGCGCGTCATGACCTCCCCGCGCTGGGTCATCACCGCTAGCACAGGGAGTGGGGGGCAATTGATGGAGGGTGATTTGGCCCAACCTTGTAGCACGGGTACACGTGGGCGTGACCTTGCTCAAACAGTGACTCAGCGTGACAGTGCACTGACGTAACCTCAACTCGGGGGGAGGGTCTCACCGAGTTGAGCTCAGCAACTGAGTAGATAAACTACTCGCCGGAAGCCGTCTTGCTTGCATCTCCTCCCCGGGGTTAAAGTACTTCGGGGTGTTCCGAGATCGGGGTACCTTGACCTTTCTCGATGCCCGAGCTCCTCCCGATGGACTTCGGGCCACTCCTCGATGGGAGCTCACTGACCCACCTCTAGACATCCTGGGGCGAAAACACCTCGAAGCTAGGTAGCTCAGCATAGCTTGCCACAGGTAGCTTGCCGCCTATGGGATAGCCCAACACGGGGTAACTCGCGAAAGAGTAGTTCGGCATACCGCCGAAAGACCTCCTGCCCGACCACCGTACCTGACAAATTTGAGGACAGCAGCCATGTCCCTCGTCAGGCAGCGTCGTGCCTGCCACCTTTGGAAGGTACCTTACACCTGA